ACTACTGATCTGTTTCATCTTTTTCTCTCTTGTTGCTTGGGTTGATGCAGAGGTAGTTGGTTTTGATAGTTTGATACTCTCAGCCTCTTTTTGAATATATTTCTGCAAAAGCCTTGAAAAACAATAAAAAGATACTGTCAATAATTGCACAAACTATTTAGACAAAAAGCAATCACATATTTCAGTATACATTATTGTCCAATACTGCCAGCTCCTTTACTATCAAAGTGCCATGTAATTCTCCACTGCCTGCACTTTGGCAAAATAACAAATCCACCTGGATAACTAATTACACATGAAATAAGTGTCTTACTCACATTGCACCACATTTTTCAGGGTGAAGTATAGTTTAATACATAGCATTGGCAAAAAAAAGTATTGGCAATAAAGATCTAGGCAACTAGGGAATGAGACTAAGAAAACTGAGGGATCAAGATAGGTTATAAAACTATTGTTGTCAATAACCTTTGAATTCTGGCCAAAGTGGTCTAAATGATTGCTTCCAACTCTATTATTTTATTATTTATTTATAAGAGCCAGAGAGAGGGGCTGTTTGTTTTGATATACAATAAATATCTTACCTGAATACAGCATCCCAGTTCATCTGTTTTCCAAGTTTGGAATCAGAATTACGATCCAGCTGCTGAACTGTTTCCGGATCACAGATAAGACGCTTGAACTTCTCAATTTCTTTCTGTATTTGTACAGAAACACAAAAAATATATAATACTCCATTACCACAATGTCATATTTTTAAAAAGGAATTAAGCTTACCTTTCTTTCCATAGCTTTGTCACTTCCAAGCTGATGACAGCAAGTCAGCAGTTCATGAATTGCAAGACTCATGGTTCAACCAAGATGTTGTGAACGTACATCCAATATGAACCTAAGTTTATAAAATCAAAATTTGTGAGGTTAACAACAAAATGTAAGAACTTAACTGAATTAATCCATTTAAAATCTTTGAGCTAGTAAAACATATTTTCACTAAGTTGACTGTTCTTCAAACAGGAAAGTATTTTCACCCATATCATAACCCATTTCATATAAATTAAATGATTAAAATAAAATTTAAAAAATACATATTTAAAAAATTTACCTACTACACAGTTTCTAAGGGATTATTATTTCTGGTTATTTGATAAGATTCTAGAGAACAGACAACCCTAGATTTTTACCTCAATTGTTAAGAACCTTTTTTATATATATAATGATACAATTTGTATAAATGTGAGCATCTTTGAGGTTGTAATTAGCAATCCAACTCTTTAAAGGACCCTGTTAAAGTTCTGTTGGTTGATGGAAGGCTTGTTGGGCAGAAATCCAATCTACAAAGGAAGTGTAGTATCAGATTGATTTTTCTCTCAGAGAAACACGAGAATTTAAGATAGCAAGGTAAGCTCTGGTTTGGCTGCCCCTCTCTGCAGGTCCTCTGGTAATTTTAGTAAGAGAATAGCTTTTTTAAAGGATTTCTGTTCTAAGACAGAAGTTCTACAAATCCAAAACAAAATGGGGAAGCAAAGACATGGTCATAATGATAGTTGAGATCAAAAGGGTCAGAAGAAGCCAAATAAATGAGAAAAGTATGGACCAAGTGACCTGAACAAAAAGACTGCAAAAGTGATGGCACTGAAAAGCATATACTTATTGTTTTGATTAATAAAAAGAATGTTTTCTGGGCTAAGTACTTAGGCATAAAAGTAGATAAATAAATCCCAAGTGCTATGTATTAATATGAAACTTTCATTCAAATGGTCAGTA